CGGCTACGCCTTTGGGCGCCCACCAGGTGTTCGACGAAATGCCTCTTATAAGTAAACTTGGATATCTTTTGTTGTTTTTTGTGTGTTTTTGTGTGTGCATAGCAGCTGGATTGCAAGTCCCTGTTGTTTGGTTGGTTTGCTTTTGCTTTGCTACTTGTTTAGGGCCTTATCTTTTGTTCTGTTTGTAGGTGTATTAGATACGTATTTACCCAACGCCAACTTTTAATTTTGTTCATCATGACTTTCAAAAGTTACATTTTGTTTGTCTTTAAGTAAGAATTCTATTAGCTATAAGAACTCTTTAATGCAAATTTGCCTTCAAAAAACAGAGTCCATAGAGTGTAGCTTTAATGGTCAATAAGGGATATATAAAGAGTTTAGAGAAAATGAATCCAAGTTATAGCGTCCACTCCCTTAGAGATCTTAGTAACTAATCGTAGTAGGATCAACTGTGAGATCCCACATCGATTGTAGAGTAGAACGAAGTATCCTTTATAAGGACATCGAGACCTCGCCGAAAAGGAAAAATTCAAAAGGACAATATTTGATGACAGTGAATTTTGGGCTGTTACATTAATAGTTGTCTCATAAGAATAGTTGAAGTGGGTAAAAGATGACCTGAACACCACTGTTAAAAAAGAATTTAACAAAAGTTGAACTCCTAGGAATCAAATTAGATATTTTCTAGAGGGAAGGATTTTAAGCTCTGTTCTCTGTTATATTTTATTGTTTTCCAAGTCGTGTGTGTTTTGGTTTGATGGCTTTTTGTGCGGTGGAAGGGATATAGTAGGCTACTCATCATTTGACTTTTTGACCCTTAGACTGATTAAAGAACTTGACAAAAGGGGTTTGGGCTTCTTTTTTCAAGCTGGATTCATGTTGCCTTTTTGTAAAAGCAACTAAATTTGGCAAATTGTTGTGCTATGATTAGGTTAAAGATTGCCATTCCCACCAGTTGAATGAGAAACCAGCTGCCTTACATCTAGACCCCTCATCCTTTATGTCTCTGTCTCAAGTTTACTAATTGTTTATTTGTTTCTTTTTCATGGAGAATATGTAGTTTCCTTTGTCAAAACGAGATGACGAAACTCATATCGTTCTTTGATTTGTCTATCGAACATGTTTGATCGAATCTATACTCTTTCTTATACTTTTGTAACAGCCGAAACCCACCGCTAGCAGATATGGTATTTTTTGGACTTTTCATTTCGAGTTTCTCCTCAAGATTTTTAAAAGGCGTATGCTAGGGAGAGTTTTCCACACCCTTATAAAGGGTGTTCCGTTCTCCACCCCAACTGATGTGGGATCTCACCTTCCACCCCCTTCAATGGCCGGCGTCCTCGCTGACACTCATTCACTTCTCTAATCGATGTGGCCCAGCGTCCTTGCTGGCACATTGCCTCGTGTCCACTCCCTTTGAGGCTCAGCCTCCTCACTGGCACATTGTCTAGTATCTAGCTCTGATACCATTTGTAACAATCCAAACCCACGGCTAGCAGATATTGTTCTCTTTGGGTTTTCTCTTTTGGGCTTCCCCTCAAGGTCTTTAAAACGCGTTTGTTTGAGAGAGATTTCCACACCCTTATAAAGGGTGTTTCGTTCTCCTCCCCAACCGATGTGGGATCTCACAATCCACCCCTCTTCGGTGCCCAGTGTCCTCGTTGACACTCATTCCCTTCTCCAATCGATGTGATCCAGCGTCCTTGTTGGCACACCGCCTCATGTCCACCCTCTTTGAGGCTCAGCCTCCTCGCTGACACATCATCCGGTATCTAGCTCTAATACCATTTGTAACAATTCAAGCCCACAGCTAGCAAATATTGCCCTCTTTGGACTTTCCCTCTCGGTGTTCTCCTCAAAGTTTTTAAAACGCGTCTTCTAAGGAGAGATTTCTACACCCTTAATAAAGGGTATTTCCTTCTCCTCTCCAATCGATGTAAGATCTCACAACCTTAGTTACACTCGATTTACTTAAATAGTACCTATAATTACTAACGTGAATCGATTGAAATGTGTATGATATAACGTGAATCGATTGAAATGTGTATGAATTCAAACATGTGATTGTGATAGGATCTTTATACAGTTGTTACGTGCAATACCCAACTTCCATTGTGGGTAGGAGAAAGCTTCTATAATGGATAGGAGGAGTTGTGTTTTGTTCTCATTATGATTGAGCCAACCTCTCCCAAGTTGACTAATTTGAATTCTTTTTGCAATGAAATCTTCCATTGTCTTCTTGTCCAATGATGAAGGGATATGCATGAATGTGTTTTATCCCTTAAAAAGAGTCAACAAAGGATACAAATTGGAAATTTCTGAGTAGGGAATGAGTTGAAAATTAAACCAAATGCATGCACTTTTAAAATCTTCTTTATTTCTAAATCAATTTGAATTCTCGCTTCTCTTTTAGATATATCTTAGCGTATAGATTTTGATACATTTTTTAAATTGCATCACAGCTGTCATGTGAGATCTCACGTCGGTCGAAGAGAGAAACGAAGTATTCTGTACAAGGGTGTAGAAATCTCTCCTTAATAGACAGCTGACGACGATACGTAACAGACCAAAGCAGACAATATTTGCTAACGGTGGGTTTGAGTTGTTATATGTTGAAAGCGACTATCAATTCTAGATCTTTGATACTCAATCTCAAAACTCTTATGATTCGTTGAATTTTAATATTTGTATGATTTTTATTGGCGAGCATAACGTTTGCGTAATCGTTGATTATACAGACAATTAGAGATGTAAGTGTGATTAATTGTGTTAATTAAGACCAACATTCTCCATAATCCATGGAGAAAGCAAAGTTTGTTGAAATATAAGGGGGGAAGTTAATGACTATAAACATGCAAGTGGCCAGAAATTCATGTAATTTTGCAATAAATATGCCATATATTCTGTTATTTTCCCCTTGTAGAAGTTATTCCCAATAAATAAATAAATAAATAAATAAAACAATAAAAATCCAACAACATCATGTTTTCTTAAATTTAGACATACTCAACTTATAAAATTTTATGTTTCATCCTAAATTTTGGATCTCTGTCATACAATTTCTTGTGGAATTTTAAGAATTTTCTTAAAATTTTTTAATAATATTAAAACTCATGATCACGTCCCAAAACTTTATTAACTTTTTTACGGGTTTAAATATCACCGAATCTTGATGGTAAAATAAAATTAGATTTTAAAATTGGAATATATATATATATATATTAATTAATTAAAAACCTTGAGAAAAATAAACTTTTACATGAAATCAATGTGATTTTTTTTTTTTATAAAAAAACATTATACTTTGTCTAAAAAAAAATATCCATAAATTTTAAATGTTTTAAAGATATCCTTAAGTTAAAAAGTAAAAATAAAAAATCACAAATACTTTTAAACTTAAAAAATAACAAAATTTCACAAATACCCTTAACTTTTAAAAGGTTTCCTTAACTTTTAAAGGGGTTTCCTCCCTATATTATAAGGTAAAAATTATTAATGTTAATTTTTTCATAAATATATTTTTTAAATTTTTTTTAAAAAAAATATAAGAAGATTTAAAAAAAAAAAAAAAAATTATTAGAAGGTTATTAATGAATTTAAAAAATCAAAGTTATTTTTGAAATCGAGTAGTAATGATTTTCATTGGAAACCAATAATAAATATATTTTTTTAGACTTTTTTTTAAAGTTTAAATATATTATTGATTTTTTTTTAAATTTAAGATATTTCTTAGATAAATTATCAAATTATTAGTATTTTTATTAATTTTTTCCTTTATTATTGGTAATTGGCATGGTAACTAAAAATATTATAATTATTTAACTGTACTCGATAATATATATATATATATATATATATATATATATATATATATATATATATATATATATATATATATAATATTATAATAAATTACTAACTTCACTTCCCACTAATTTTAAAAAATTATAATGCTCAGTTAAACAAACAATCAGTTATGTAATTATTGATAATTAGATGTATATTTATCCAAACCAAAGGTCAATGCAGGGTTCTTCCGTGTAATTTTCTATAATTGAATAAAAAGAAATTGATATTAATGGATCTTCATGGCTCGTTTTGTAAAAACCCATATTTTCAGGGGGTAGATTGCAATAATCTCTTGCACTAAAAGCAATAAGTTTGTCGGATTGGGCTTCGGCCCATATGACGTTTTATATGGACCAGTGTAGGTAAGACTCCGAGCCCAGAAACTTAGCTATTAATGGGCCGATGGGCCCAATTATAAAAATGGAAACAAACCGTTAGTCTTGGGAGTTTTTAAAATTTTAGTCAACATTGACTTCAACTCTCAGCTTCCTAAAATGTCTCGTAGTATTCCTTGGTTATAAACCCATAATCATTCTTTAAATCAGTAGATGTGGGACTTTCGTCCAACCGAATTTTAAAATTTTAAAATTATTTTAAACCCTAGAGACTGTGTTTGAATTTTGATTTCTAATAATAATAAAATATAAAATTGGAGGCTTTGATCTAAATAAATAAATAAGTACACATTAATTACCATTATATTAAAATAAGCTCACGTTAGTAAGCGATTAGTTTTAAATAGCTGCAAAAAGAAACCGTCCCTTTTCATTACAATAGCTCAATTTTTATAGAGCACGAAAGGTAAAAAGAACGATATGAGCACTGGCTCATTTTGTATGATGTGCTACGGTATGACTATCTATGATTATTTTGATATAGATTATACACTTTTTACTCTCTTGTATTGTTCCGTAACATTCCGATGTCGCCGCTAGCTGATGTTATCGACCTCACGGTTTTAAAAATACGTCTATTAAGGAGAGGTTTCCACACCCTTGTAATGAATGTTTAGTTTCTTTCTCGAACCGGATATCGGGTCATTTTCATTTTGACTCATTTGCCCTTTTACCTTCCTCCTTCCCCATAACCATGTCCCCTTTTTAATGGCGTTCAATTCCTTCTGTATTTCTGTCTCTCATCACATGCTGTCTCTCTGATCATCACGTGACTCTCTCTCTCCCTCTCTTTCAGAGAGATTGACTACTGAGCCCTTTCTCTCTCAGTCTCTGTGACCTTTTTCAGCCCCTTTTCTCCCTTTTTCCTTTAACCCATTTTCCAAACACTCCATTCTCGCACCTCAATCTATAAACCCTTTCAATCTTCTTTACAATCTCTATTTCTTTCCATTTATATTTCTCTATCTCTCTATGTAAGCTTTCAATCATGGGCTGTTTTCAGTCCAAAACCATTCATCTCCCTTCCCCTGACAACGATCCTCCCCCACCACAGCCCAAACCAGATCCAGGTCTCTTTGTTCATCTCTATCAATCTCTTAATCTTCCTGTTTTTTAGTGTCTTTTCATTCAATGATTTCTGGGTTTGTTTTAGTTCTTTGAGTTATTGCGTTTTGATATCGTTTTTGCGGGGTTTTGTAGCTAATGATGAAGAGTTTGAGCTAGTTCCTCCATTCAAGGAGTTTGATCTTGATGAACTTCGAGCTGCCACTAATGGCTTCAGCTCTGAATTGATTGTTTCTGAAAGTGGTGAGAAAGCTCCTAATGTTGTTTATAAAGGGAAGCTTGAGAAAACTCGATTGGTTGCCATTAAACGCTTCTCCAAGCAATCTTGGCCTGATCCTAAACAGTTTGTGGTAATCTCTTGTACTGTTAAGTGAAAATGGGTATGGTTTTGGCTTTGATTTGAGGTTGTTTTTGTGTTTGTTTGTCGATTTGCTTGTGATTATGAACAGATTGAAGCTTCTGGTGTTGGTAAGCTGAGGTTTAAGAGATTGGTTAATTTGATTGGGTGCTGTGCTGAAGGAGATGAGAGGCTGTTGGTGGCTGAGTTTATGCCTAATGATACTCTCTCAAAGCATCTGTTTCATTGTATGGTTTTAGTCTTTTACTTGCTTGAGAATCTGTTTACTTCGTTTATTATCTTTATAATCGTAGCGTTATTTGAAGGATTCGAGCGTTTTAGTTCCTCGAAATGGAAGATTCTGATATTGTTTGGTGACTTCGTTCGTTGTATATGTTGTCTAGAACGTGTTTTTTTGTGTTTGTTAATGATAAGGAAGGTGTTGGGATGGTACATTATAGAATTTCGAGTGTTTTACTTCCTCGAAATGGAAGATTCTGATGTCGTTTGGTGATTTTGTTCGTTGTACACGTTCTCTAGAACGTGTTTTTTGTGTTTGTTTATGATAAGGAAGGTGTCGGGATGGTACATTATAGAGTTTCGAGTGTTTTGCTTCCTCGAAATGGAAGATTATGATGTCGTTTGGTGATTTTGTCTGTTGTACACGTTCTCTAGAACGTGTTTTTTTGTGTTTGTTTATGATAAGGAAGGTGTTGGGATGGTACATTATAGAGTTTCGAGTGCTTTGCTTCCTCGAAATGGAAGATTATGATGTTGTTTGGTGATTTTGTCTATTGTGCACGTTCTTTAGAACGTGTTTTTTTGTGTTTGTTTATGATAAGGAAGGTGTCGGGATGGTACATTATAGAATTTTGAGTGTTTTAGTTCCTCGAAATGGAAGATTTTGATGTCGTTTGGTGATTTTGTTCGTTGTACACGTTCTCTAGAACATGTTTTTTGTGTTTGTTTATGATAAGGAAGGTGTCGGGATGGTGCATTGTAGAATTTTGAGTGTTTTAGTTCCTCGAAATGGAAGATTTTGATATCGTTTGGTGATTTTGTCCATTGTACATGTTCTCTAGAACGTGTTTTTTTGTGTTTGTTTACGACAAGGAAGGTGTCGGGATGGTACATTATAGAATTTTGAGTGTTTTAGTTCCTCAAAATGGAAGATTTTGATATCGTTTGGTGATTTTGTCCGTTGTACACGTTCTATAGAACGTGTTTTTTGTGTTTGTTCACGACAAGGAAGGTGCCGGGATGGTACATTATAGAATTTCAAGTTCGGTGGAGCTTAAGGATTTTCATTATCTCGGCATCGGGATTTTCCTTTCTCGTTCTTTCTGAATGATTTCCATTATACTGCAGGGGAAAAGCAACCGTTTCCTTGGGAAATGCGTGTTCGAGTTGCATATTACATAGCACAAGCTCTCGATCATTGCAGCACCGAAAAACGAAAAATATATCATGATCTAAATGCATATAGAGTTCTTTTCGATGAGGTATGCCTTCAAAATTACTTCATTTTTAGTGTTTTTAGACTATGAACTTAGTCAATACCAAGCATTTGATATCAACAATCGACGTGTTCTATTGTTGTACTTCATTTTCTCGTGGCAGGACGGGGATCCTCGACTATCCAGTTTTGGTCTAATGAAGAACAGTCATGATGGAAAAAGCTATAGCACGAACTTAGCTTATACGCCACCAGAGTTTCTACGAACGGGTATGTCACCGAAACATCCGAGCTTCTTAGTTTAAAGAACGGCGTGTCGAGTGATTCTCTATGGTCTTGTTTCGTTCAGGCAGGGTCATACCAGAGAGTGTGATCTATAGCTATGGAACCATTTTGCTGGACCTTTTAAGTGGGAAGCACATTCCTCCGAGCCATGTACGATAACGTTCATCTCCGTTCATCTTTGAATTTGTTTGTTATTCGATGAATCTTGTGTTTTCTTGTCTGCAACGCTCGTTTATCTGGCTCGTCGTCTCGGTTATATGAACAGGCACTAGATTTGCTAAGAGGGAAGAACTTATTGCTGTTAATGGATTCATCCTTAGAAGGACAATATGGAGATGATGATGCAACTCAGTTGATTGATCTTGCTTCCAAATGTCTGCAATACGAGGCTAAAGATCGACCCGATATAAAGTTTATTTTTTCGGCAGTGGCGCCTCTGCAAAAGCAAGAGGTAAGCGTTTTAACGTTGTTTACTTGACCGAAGATTTATTTTCTCGACACGGGGTTGTGTTATCCTAAATTCTTTTGAGTTTTCTTAACGTCGATATCCTCGTTATCCTAGGTTGCATCACACGTACTAATGGGGTTGACAAAAACACCAGTGGTGTTGCCAACGATGCTTTCGGCACTCGGGAAAGCCTGCGTTCGGATGGATCTTACTGCCGTACACGACATACTACTTAAAGTTGGTTACAAAGACGAGGAGGGCGCTGAGAGCGAAGTACGTTCTTTTTTTGTCTTTGTTTATATGAAGTAAATTGCATTACATTCTTTGTTCGTATGCTCGTCGTAAGGCCTACATCACGGTGCGTTGAGGACGGTTTCGAGCTATTGATTTTCCTCCTAGGAGCTTTGAACTTAGAACTTGTAGGGTATCTCTAAACATCTCATGCTAACTCTTCACTTAGGGCACCCCTTGAGTTTCTAAGTATCCATCAAGGGTAGCCCTTTCCTTTCAAGACGTGTCGAGGTGAGCTAGCCTAGACCGTCACTGTGAGATCCCCCATCGGTTGGAGAGGGGAACGAAACATTCTTTATAAGGGTGTGAAAATCTCTCCCTAGCATACACGTTTTAAAAACTTTAGGGAAGCCCGAAGGGGAAAGCCCAAAGAGGACAATATCTGCTATTGGTAGGTTTGGGCTGTTACAAATGGTTTTAGAGCTAGACACCAAGCGATGTGCTAGCGAGGACGTTGGGCCCCGAAGGGGGGTGGATTGTGAGATCCCTCATTGGTTGGAGAGGATGACGAAACATTTTTTATAAGGGTGTGGAAACCTCTCCCTAGCCGACACGTTTTAAAAATCTTAAGGGGAAGCCCGAAAGGTAAAGCCCAAAGAGGACAATATCATCTAACAGTGGATTTGGATTGTTACAAATGGTATTAGAGCCAAGTACCGGGCGGTTTGGGCCCTGAAAGGGGGTGGACACGGGTGGTGTGCCAGTGAGGATGCTGGTTCCGAAGGGGGGGGGAGAGGGAGATTGTGAGATCCCACGTCGGTTGGAGAGGGGAACGAAACATTCTTTATAAGAGTGTGGAAATCTCTCCCTAGTAGACACGTTCTAAAAGCTTTGAGGGAAAACCCGAGTAGGAAAAGCTCAAAGAGGACAATATCTGCTAACGGTTGACGCTCGATAATGGTTTCGTGAATACTTGCTTCTCTTCCATCTGCAGCTTTCATTCCAAGAGTGGACTCAACAAGTGCAAGACATGTTGAACACAAAAAAGTTTGGGGATATTGCATTTAGAGACAAGGACTACAAAAACGCCATCGAGTACTACTCGAAGGTGCATTCTACTATCTCGACTTTACAACTCCGATGGCACGGGTAGTTCACTAGCCCGCCACATTTGTTCGACTTCTCTGCTAATAACATTACAATCATCTTTCAAACTGCAGCTAGTATCAATGATGTCAGTCCCTTCTGGTACCGTCTTCGTGAGACGAGCGCTCTCCTACCTAATGGTTGGTCAACCCGAACTCGCATTAAGAGACGCAATGCAAGCTCAAGTATGCTTGCCCGAGTGGCCGACTTCCTTCTATATGCAGGCTCTCGCCCTCTCGAAACTAGGAATGGAATCAGACGCACAGGATATGCTCAACGACGGAGCCTCCTTCGAAGCAAAGAAGCAAAACATCTGGCGCAGTTAAACGGGGCGTGACGATCCGAGCCGAAGAATCGATGTTTTGGCCACGGTAAGCATTTACGTGTTGGGTTAACTCCCCTGATGTTTTAGACATCATAGAATCAACATTGATAATGTTAAATTTGACACTTTTGAGGGGTTTTTTTGAAATTATTCTTTTATTTTGGAATTCTTGCAAATACTTTTAAATAGGGGGACTGACTTGCAAATCAGAGCTTCTCTTCAACTTTTTAACAAAGGAGGAGGAGACAGAGCAAAGAGACGGAATAAACAGGCAGAGCCCCAACTACTCTAAAGGGATAAAATCATAAAAAAACAAAAGTGTAAGGATGTTATTATAATATAAAAAAAATAATTTAGAGGGTTTCTATATAATATTGATGGTTTTCAGGGATCTTTTTGCAATTTCTCATTACTTTCTCCCATTTTATCCATTTTCAATTATCTTTATATTCCGCTGAAAAAATAAGGAAATTATTAATTTTTTTTTAATGCTTAAAGTTGAGGATAATATGTTACTTAGCTTCAAAGGAATTTATTTTTTTATTTTTTTAATTTTAATATTATTCTTATAAAAATAAAAATAAAAAGTGCTAAAAAAAATTCTTTATTTTAATATTACTTTGGTAAAAATTCTTTTTTTAATTCTTAAATGGGAATATTCTAAAAAAATGTTATTATTTTTTTGTGGTCAAATAAATTTAAATTTTATATTAATAAAACTTAATTTAATCGAAATTCAAATTTCAAATTCAAATTCAAATTGCGAATATTATATATAATATTATTTAAATGTATCCTACAGAAAAAGAAAATTCCTGGATTTTATTCGCCCTTTTCCAATATGAACTCAGCTATTGCGGCCTGTTGAGTCGTTGACAGGTTTGGATAAACTCATGGCACGTGCGAACGTATCACGTGATTTTTTTTTTTGGGTTAAATATAGTTTTTTTTTTAAATAATAAATATATGATATTTGTATTATTATTTTGACACGTTTTGGATTCAATTTAATTCTCTCTTAAATTTTTTAATTTAATTCAAATAATTCTTGTTAAATAATTAGTGAAATAATTATGAAATTATAATAAATAACTGAAAAAAAACTCCATAAATTTGGGTGTAAGTCACTTGGGTCGAGTTATGGTAATAATTTTTTCTAGGACCAACTTAAAAATCTTAGGTTGTTTAGGTTGGCGACTCGGATGATTTAAATAGGGTTCATGACCTAACCCAACCAAACCCTTTATTTTCGAGTTGTTTTGAGCTCTATGGAATGGTCGTGTTGTAAATCCTATTTTCGAGTTGGTCGGGTCCACCTAAAATAAAGTTTCAACCAGTGAATCGGAGTTTTTAGTTTTTAAAAATTCTAATTCAAATTAAATTTTTTTTTGACTCAACTCAAAAGAGGTTTTGATGGGATAATCCAAGTTATTAGGGTTATCGGATTCTATGAACACCCCAGATAAAATGAGCTGTCGTTTACATAAAAATATAATTTGAACCTCAATTTTCATTAAAATATAGTTATATAAAAAAAATACTGTAATCAGAATAATTTATTTGACAAAATATTATAATTTTAACTAAATAGTCAAAATTTAAATATTTACTGACTCAACAATAATTGACCTATTATTTGGACGTTAATGATTAAATTTAAATTTTATAATTAATAGATAATTAACTTAAAAAATTTTAATTATTGAAAATTCAAATACTTATTTAAGAATTTATAAAAAAAAGATAATTAAAAGTTTAAGAATTCATTAATTTAACCCAAAAAAAAAAAAAAAAAAAACAATCACGTTTATTATTTAAAAGAAAACGTGTTCCACGATCTGAGGGATTAATTAAAAACCTTAAACATGGCCGGCAGGACTTTCCAATCGGTTTTTTTTTTATTTTTTTTTATTTTTTTAATTATATAATATTATATTATATATATTTAAATTTAATTCGGAGGAAAAAAAAAAAAAACCATTTAAATAGATTGTAGGGGTCGTTGATCCGATTTCAGACAGTATTACGCATTACCCGCTCTCTCTAGGTACGTCGTCTCTTCCTTTGAATTTTCGCTCCTTTTTCTTTCTTTCTTTGTTTTGATTGATTATTTGTCTGTTCGATTTTTTTCGCGGATTCGAGTTTATTTTTCGTTGAATCTGTTCATAATCTTTGATTTTGTTTTTTTTTTTTTTTAACGGTCTTCGTAAGAAATTTGTTGTTCTCTTTAATCGCGGAAGGACATGGGATTCATGGCCAATCAAAAGCCAATTCCGCTCTCAGAGATATTCATAGATCGCTGTAAAACGTTTAAATTGGGGAATTCAAATTTCAGCATCTAGTCAATCGGTAGGGTATTGAAATTTAGGATTCGGAGGCGGAATTATGAAGGTCGAGCCTCTAAATCATTCGAGACATGGCGTTAGCCGTTAGATCTAAATAGTAATTCGCTTTTAATCGGAATTAGGTGCTGCAGATTCTCGAACTCATTGTTCTGGATATTTGCATCACATCAGAGATAATATAGGATATGGCGTCCAGTTTCACTCAATCATCTGGAAATTTAGTTGAGATGGTGTTTTATATATATATATATATGTATGCTTAAAATAGCATGTGCACTTCTTTCACCATATATTTTTCAAGGGTTTGCTGGTTGGAGAAATTATGCGCCAAAATGTTAGCCTGTAGTTTAGGGGATTCTGTTTGGTGGACATATCTTTATATATTGCTAAGTTTTCTATTAAAGAAGGTTATTACAATATCTTGTGTGTTAAGAGAACTCAATGACCCATCTTTCACTTTTTTTTTTTGTATTTTTAGTATTATGTTTGTAATTAGTTATTATTAACACTACATTTTTAACCTCTTTTAATTTAGTTGTAATACTGTTCTTATTGTTTACACAGTAGTCTTTTCCTATCTCATGGCTATTGATTTTTAGTATTTTTAGTATTATGTTTGTAATTGCTTTTGATCACTATTATCCATCAATAAAGGGATTCTTTTGATCACTGTTAAGATTGTGCAATATGTATCAAGTTTTTATGGCTCTGATTTGAGTGTAGAGATGAATTTTAACTGATTGGAACAATTTTTTAATATAGTGGACTCATAATAACCTGTTTAAAACTATGACTAAAAGGCATTGAATTTCGTTATCTTAAAGCAGGGTCAGTTCTGTGGTCTGACTAGATTATGTAACTTTTAGATTTTTTTTACATGGTTTGGAAGAATATAGAGAACCATTTCTAGTCTCTGGTTCTTAGTCTTGGTTGATCATATTATCTTTTTCAAAAATAGGTTTGTTGTAAAGGTTTTTCCAGTTAGAATGGGATAAATGGAGTATTAAATGAGTTGAGCTACGTGCTCGTGCTTTTCTCGTTCCTTTCGTTATTCTTTTCAATTCTCTCTTTTCTCTATTCTGCCTTAGGCTTCCTACACTATAGACCCTAAAAAAATTTGAGTTTATCAGATTCCAGGCCAACAGAAGTGCACCATGAGGGAGTTTTGTACATTCAATTTAAAAAAAGAGATGATAAAGTGCATTAGAACAAGAATTTTAGTTTGAATTTATTAGGTCAAGGTCCATACCTCTTTTTATTGTCGTTAAGTAAATTTTTTTTGGAAATTTTTTTTGGAAGGTCCGACTCTGATTCAGTCAGGTTACTGGAAGAACAATGATTCTTAATTTTTTAACAAGCTTTGTTGCTGGGACATGAACACCGATGAGTGCAACCGAGTTTAGAGTACCTCCTTAATTTCTATGGGTATTGGACCCAAATCTGTAGTTTTTCTTAATTAACTCTGGCATGTCCTAAGTCCACGGCTAACAGATATTGTTCTTTTTGGGCTTTCTTCTCAAGGTTTCTTCTCCAATTGATGTCTGATTTCACAATCTACCCCCCTTGAGGACTCAACATCCTCGCTAGCACACCACCCGGTGTCTAGTTCTGGTATCATTTGTAACCGCCCAAGCCCACTCTTAGAAGATATTTTCCTCTTTGGGCTTTCTCTTCTGGGCTTCACCTTAAGATTTTAAAATGCATCCGCTAGGGAGATGTTTCCACAATGTTTCGTTCCCCTCTCCAAAAAATGTGGGATCTCACAGTATCTGCAAAATCTGCACCCAATTTTAGTGGACATCTAAACATCGTTCATCAGTTTAGCAACTGCAATCAAATTATCCATTCCTTTTCATCCCCGTTTTCTTGGCCGCTGTTGTGTGCTTGTCTATATATGTTGCAAGAATCTAGCTATTGCATTTACAGGTTAGGTCTTTTGAAGTCTCTAGCGATAGGGGGTTGATTGTGTGTTAGAAATTTTGCTCACAATTGTCGCCATACATTGCCAGTTTACAGCTTATGGATCACTATTTGTCCAACTAGAATAACATTTTGAATCACTTGCAGAAAACAAAACAAACAGAGTGCCATTATATGGATATAACAGTACCTGGAAAGAATGTTTCTGAGGAAGTGACTCGTGAGTCGCTTATCGCCATCTCTTACTCGGAACCAGAATCAGCTCTCTCTTCAAAACGACCATCTGGAAAGCTCAATAGCAAAAACCTCAATCTGGTGGAAGGGAAAGAATTTGATGCAGATGAGAAATATAGATCTGAGCTGATTTCAATTTCCTTCCTCGAGTCGCCACCCGAAATTGGAAGTGTACCCGTCGGCAAACTCAAAGGTTAGCACCTGGACGTTCGTTATCGTAATTGTATACACTCTTATGTAGAAATGATGCTAATCTAAGTGTGTTGTTGCAACCATGGAGCAATGGTGTCCATGTTCTTTGGTTCTGTAACTTAGACCCTCCCACTGGTTGTCTGTACTATCTTTATCTTTTGAAAACTTATTGCCGTGTGAGCCCCAATGAATGAACTTATGAACCCTCGCTACTTAGCTTTATTATTTTACATTTTTGTCACACTCCTAATGTAATATCATAATATGGTGCCTTAAAGATTGTATATACCTTATACATTGTATCTTATAATAGCTTGTATATGAATCTTAGGGATATATATACACACACATATATATATAGTGAGATTTGACATTTAATCTTCAAATTATGTTCAAATTTGCTATTTTATAACATATTTGTTATAGAAATTTTTAGAATTGTCCTTGGGGGAGCCTTATCTATGATTCTTTACGTTTTATATATATATAGATACATATATATACACACACACATATATATATACATATAATGCAAGGATGGAGAGATAAGACTCAAACTTTCGAACTTTAAGAAAAATAGTAGCTTATCGAACTTTTCAGAGTCGTATATAATATGTGTATGTATTTATATATATATTTAGAGATTTTAACACAATTACAACTTTCGAACTTTAAGAAAAATAGTAGTTTATCGAACTTTTCAGAGTCTATATAATATGTGTATGTATTTATATATATATCTAGAGATTTTAACACAATTACGTAGATTACTTATTATCTCGAACTATTTATTTATTTATTATTGTCAAGAGCTTAACAGAATCAAATTTTATGACTTTGGAAAAGAAATATTTATACCATATTCAATTGACGGTAAAAGTATGAGAATAAAAAAAAAATTAAAATATTATTTTGATATTTGTACTTTTAGTTTATTGTTATTTTATTTTATTTTTTTAAAATATTTGGTCTCTTGACCTCACTCTTATAAAATTTTAAAATACGTAGAAGACCCCATAGTATTTATTTTATTTATTAAGGTGGATAAAAAATAACTTATTTATTAAAAGTTTAAGGACTAAATTTAAACCTTTAAAAATATAAATATTCGTCATAAAAAAGGAAAATATTATCTAACGTTGTAATTGAAGAAATATTTTTCTAAATTTTAATATAAAAAATTTAAAAAAGAAAAAGTGATAAAAAGATTAGAAAAAGTCCTAACAATATTAGAATTAGAAATATCGTTTTATCTTGTCCAATGGATGCGCCGCGAAGATATTTAGACAAGCATCAGTGGCGCCCCTCGGCGGGCTCTCAAATTTATCATGAAATTGGCTGTAGACGATCTTTTCCACCGACCCGCACGATACTATATAGTTCTCCGAATCATTAAGTCGATTTGAAGTTTTGGAGCTAAAATGGCCGCAGGAAACTTGATGAGAAGAACCGAGAAGAATGGCTACGGCTGTCGGAAACCGAACGTCCGGCGGATGGTACGTTCCTCAAATGGTGGCCGCCTCTTGTGCCGTCGTCGAATGAATTCCACTGGTTGATTTTGTTCTTGAGGTTAGAGATGCTATGATATGCTAGCTTCTACTATTGTTTATTCGCTCTCATTGCATGTTTTTTAATTTCGTATCGGCATCTCCAAGTGTTCATTGAAATGTCAGCTTACGATGAGTTCATTTCCTGTTAGCTTCTTTTTCCAATCTATTTGGAATCATAGAATTGTTTATTCTTTTTTGTGTGGGTTTGATTCGGAAGAATGAAGTTGTATTGAAACTGATGGATTACGTTTATTATTATGGAGGGAACGAATCACTTAAAATGTTTGTTTATTCCTCTACGTGTTATTGCTTTGTTTTGTTTTCTTCAGATTCGGATGTCATCTGAATATGAATCATGAAAAATTATTCACCATTAACGAAACGAATCTTGTATTAAACAAGACGGACCTAGCGGATCGGTCACAGACATAGGTTCGTAATTTCTGTAACTTCCATGTTTTTCGTTCATTTTAGCTTAGTTTTTACTGCTGGAGTTCCTTTCAAGTCATTCTGGATTTCGTAGGTTATCAATGTAGCTAATTTGATTTGTCATTGAAGTCTGGTTGAACATAATAATGACAATTCTATGGGATATTTGTGGGGAGAACATGAGATGATGCAAATGAAATACCAGTGGGACGTAATTTACTCTCTTCCCTTGTTATGATCAATGATACAGGGGTTTTTTAATTTTCGATTGTTTATGATTTTCACATGACTGTTACTTCAATTTTTTCCCCTTTTGGTTTAAGTTGGTTCCCCGGTCTCCTTATGTGACCTTCCAGTTATCTTTAGATACAAATATATATTTGTTACTTCTCAAAATAGAATTGCAGTATATGAAGCAGGATTAGTACTTAGCGATCATTTAACATTAATTCTTCAGTAGATGTACCATTTTTTGAGGTCGTTTATTCTTGTACAGTTTGAATCATATTCAAATCGATTCATTAGTTCAATGTTTCACATGTTTATACTTCACTCTATTAATAGGACTGGACAAGATATTTTGAAGACCATGCATCTGTTATGGCGTTAGGAGAATATTAGGGAGGTAAAGAGCTAAAATGTAATCTTTTTGTGTTCATTTTTAATTGCTATCTTGTTTGAGCAACATATTTTCCTTTTACTTTCCAGCTTTGAAATGCTGTTGATGGTAATTGTCAGATGTCTTGGCAGTGTATGCACTTTTTTTTTCTCTAACCATGTTTTGTGCAAAATTAAGTGCCAACTAATTGTAATTTATACATCCCATATTCAAAATGATACTTTGTCACGGTGGGACAATCCATTATTTGTTCGATCCTTTGAGCTGGCCTTAGTTGATCTCTTCTTGGTCTAATAGCAATTGGTGATGGTTCACTTCATACAGTTCTTGAACATTCTTCAAGCTAGAGTTAGAGAATTGAAGAAGAGCGGTCATTCTAGTCATGCCACAACAATGGTGCTGCTTCGAAATCCAAATGTCACTAAGTTGGCCCTTGCAACTCTCTGCATCATATTGGGAGAATTAGTGCTGTAAGTACATATCTTAAATTGCACAGAATTCAAGTTTTCTAGAGCAGTTGATCCTGGAATTGCTTGAGTGAATGATGATTCTTATTCATCTAATAAGAAATAATTTCTATGTATGACATTTTGAAGTATCGCTCACCTCACAGAAAAGGGAAGTTGAAGTATACTATGGTGAGTCCACAGCCTTGTGAAACAAAAATTATCAGCAGCTTGAAGGTATGTCGAAGTTGTCTTACTATCTTGGGGTTACTGATTCAGTTGTTGAGGTGTTTATTCAAAAGTTCACATTAACATATTTTGGATTGATCAAGGCTTAATTATCATCTATCCTTGTAGAAGAAAAAACAATGTGTACTTCTAAAAAGGAGGTATCCATCTGATCACACGCAGGTATAAGCATTATTTGGTTTTTTTTTTTTTTTTTTTTTTTTTTTTTTTTT